TGTGTGGTTGTGTGGTTGTGTGGTTGTGTGGTTGTGTGGTTGTGTGGACTGTGAACCATCGCCAGGCGTAAACGTGTCGTCCGCCTTTCCCTATGCTAGGAGAGGACTTGGGAGGAGGAAGGCGAGCGAAGAAATGGTTGGACAGTTTTGACATCGTCATCAGCCTCAGAAGTAAGGGACCGGCTCGTCTTGATGTGGGCGCGGAAGAGCGTGCGAATTGTACGCGTAACCGATCAAGGCTCGTCCCTTTCGGTACTGTACCGGACAGATATGGATCGAACAGTACGGTTGAAGATGATACAGTATGCAGTAGGTAGCCAGAGGGCTGCGAAATAAATAGCAGGAGCCGAGTACTGGCGTCGCTTGGGATCGAGAGGAGAGAGCATCTCTTCGCGTCTATGCTCGCATTGTGTGCGTGTACAGCGGCCATCTTCCAGGAGCAAGGGATTCCGCGCTGGACCCACGCCTTCATGCTTGAGGTAGAGTTGTCCACTACATCCGGTGATCAGAACGCGCTCGCCATCGTTCACGGTGTTCAATTGATCAGTAATGTTTTACGTCAACACCGGGGCGGCCGACTTGGGGTCATGCTTACCCGTATGGACAACGGCGGGTCAACTCGCCCAACGACGTTGATAGTCTGTGTATCGCGCGTTGGGCCCAGCGCGACACAGCACCAAAGATCACAGTGGGACGAGTTTTTTTTTCGTCTTGCACGTAGTACTTAAGAGTATAGCCATATTAAGGTTGAAAATCACCAAGCAAGAGGGGGAATTCCTCTAACTCTGAAAACACCATGAAAACTCGCGGGTGAATATGTCAGCCAATCATCCTGCTGCCATGTGTTTCAGATCATGCGACCGTTGGCAGACCACCTGCGGTATGCCTCGCAATACTGTAGGAGGCACTTGTCGCCACCCGTCTAATGACCAGATCACCGGACCAATCACCTTGCAAGTTTCCACCCACTGTTCTGTGTGGTGTCCAGAGGTGGGCCCTCATGTCATCACGTGATCTATAACTCCCATCATTCTACGAGGTGTTGTAGAGACGGTCACCAAACGGTCGCATATCCTGAAACACAAACATCCTTGTCGATTTGTCAGTGTAATCACCCACGGACTGTTGTGGTGTGTGTCGGGGTCAGAGGGCAACCCTCCGAAGGTCAGCCTTTTCTACCTCAAGCGAACACACCTCGAGACGGCACCGAGTGCTTGTTATCTTCACGATTTTACTGAGCAGGATTGATGTGGATGACCACACAATCGTGCGCTCAGATGGCCTTACTTGATAACAAAGCACTCGACCATAAGGCCACCGTCGGCGACGCTGTGGCGAATTTATAAACAAAGACCCCGAAATCGATCGATTTCATGCTAAGGGCGGTTCGACCTCTACAGGACAATTGTCGCCGTATATACGAGAGCGATCTACCTAGACGATACAGCAGCTTTCTTCAGGCGCGACTTGCGACGTTCTTGAATACGGGCATGCATTTCAGAAATCGCGTTTCTCCTTCGGACGAAGGCTTCAGAGACCTCTGTATGTTTCCGGCTCCTACTGCTTGAACTTGTTGCCATATCGACATGTCCCTTCTTCGACCTCCTCATGCTCGGCGACAACTGAGTGGGGGGATTCAAGAGGCGCCCAACATCACCAGCCTGGGGCTCATCTAAGTCCTTGCTTGCGGACACTTGCTTGCGGATTGTGTGCTCGCCTCCTCCATCGTCGGACTTTTCAACGCAGCGCACTAAAGGCACATCGTCCCAACCCTGCGGGCCAGCTGGGATGACGACTTCAATGGTGGTAGGTCTAGATTTGGCAATTCTGGATAGCTCGCCCGGCAGGCCTCCCTGGCCTCTACCGTACTGATTCTTTCCAGACTCAGGCAATTCAAACTGTCCGCGCAACGAAGATGACGAAGCCGACCACGATGGAGATGCAGATCCATTTGCTAATGTCGGAGACATAGCATTCATCGCTGCGAGAGCTGCACTCTTCTCTTCGTAAGCGCCATTACCATCGCCTTCTTCCGTCAAGACCTGTTCTTCTCGACCAGAACGTGGCGATGATGGTTCAGGAGATGAATCAGTGGCTGATGGCGTGGAAGTTTCCTCGGAGGCTGCGCAAGCTGAACTGCGCGAAGATGACCTGCTGAGGCCGAGCTGGGGGCGTTTCGCAGTGTAGCTTGCCTCATTGACAGCATCACCAGTATGCTTTCTCTTGACTCTTCCAATTGCCCCTTTGGCCTTAGCATTCGGCGGAGGAATAAGGTGAATATCAGACCGATGGGCGAGATATTCGGCCATTGACGAGAACCCCAGCATATCCGAGCAGCGCGGGTGGGCACACTTGTACGGTCCGGGTCGCAGTCCATGGATGTGCTCGTCCACGTGCGCTTTCCAAGCGGTCACGTTGAGAAACTTTGTCAACCCTTTAGCCTCTTCACCGGACGCTCCGTGCTTGCCTGTGCAGTCCGGACACCATGCTGGCCGCAGAACTGTACCCCGGAACATGGCCAAGCTGCATTTGAGCGGCATATTCTGACTGTGCTGTTTGTTGTGCTCATTCCATGCATCCATATCGTCAAACCAAGCAAAGCACAGGAAGCAGAAGTCAGTGAACCCGCCTGCAAGCTCAGACTGTCCCTTGCGGCAGTGATAGACGTGACGCCACCACTCCTGGGTGGTACTCTCCGGGCGAACGACGCCGCAGGTATCACAGCGTGACCGCGAACTGTTGAGTTCGACACAATAGGTGTCCGAGTTCCGAGAGGAAAACAGTGCCACCAGGTCCTTCATGATCTCGATTCCCTGAGCGTCTCTCAAAGATCCGCTTTGGAAGAGGCTCTCAGCAAGTCGGTCCCGCTCCGGCATCAGACGTCGGGCTTGCTGAAAGTCGGACTCGTAAGCGCAGACTTCCGAGGTGGTCGATTCCTTGCTCCTGCGTTGTTGGTCTGCGCGGAGGACGTTGTCTCGCTGGCGACGACGACCATCATAAATTTTCTGGCGCGCTTGCCGGTCCATAGGACCACTGTCGTTCTCAACCACGAGCCGCGTATCGTTCATCTGGCTTTGCAACCGCAATGGCACTTCTGGCCGGAATTGGTAGTCACGACGAATGGAGAATCCGCGAAAGAGTTCGTGCAACACTGGCAATTGTTGCTCCAGTCCAAAGTACGTTGCCTGTCCATCGACTGTCGAGATGGCATTCTGATAGTACCCTCCATATGTATTGGCGTTACGATGATCGGCATGCCGCATCCGCTCATTGATCGAATAACCATATCCTGTGTATGTCAGTGACGGCTCTTGCTTGAAATTTCTGCGATCGACTGACGGTCCACTTGCAAGAGTGCTTCACGACGGATAGCGCCCGGCGTCGGCCTGTCGCGAAAACCCGCGCGCTGGCCGAGTAATCCTAGGGCGCCGACGAGCGAAGTCGCGGCTTTGGTCTCACCACCTGATTTTGCGTTGTATCGGGCGTAGACATGCCGGTCAAGCACGTCGTCGGTGTAATCCAAGCACAGGAAATGGCGATCCGGCGGCTTCTCCACCGCACACAGGCCGGACCAGGTGTCAAAATTGCGCAGCCCCTGTACAGCCAGAAGACCGGCCACGAAGAATGCAACAGTGTTGTAATAGAACGGGAGGTCGACCAACTCATAGAGGAGATGTTCCGGCCTGGGATTGTCAGCAGCCCACCTCACATGTTTGGGCGGAGCACGCAAACTGTTGACGGGGAAGGTTGGCGAGGCCCTTGGTGTGGTTACGACACAGATCGATGACCAGCTGCGGCTGCGGACGATCTTCGAACCACACCTGATAAAGTAATGTATCCTAAACCGTCAGCAAATTTCTCGTCGGCGAAAAGGGATAAAACTGACACGGTATCGCAGATTCATCACATATTCAGCCGATCGAGCGGAAGTCCCGGTATGCATGAGCATCATTTGGTGGAGCCCTACTCGATATGCCTCACAGCGGAAGTCGTACCAATCATTCTGCCACAACTGCCGCACACAGGCCTGGAAATCTGTCAGCGTAAAGTTGCGCGTGGGTCGACGAGCGGTGCGGAGGTTCAGCCAGTTGCCATCTCCTCCATAGATCAGCTATGCTGTGGTCAACGTCTCATTCATACCCGCCATGCCTCGTGCGTACCGTTTCAATGGTGTTCTGAATACTCTTGGAGAAGGTGTCTCCGGAGCGGCGATGCCATGCCGACATGAAGCTTTTCCAGCAGGAGTAGGCCGAATCCTGCGTAATCCGCTGATCCTCATCGCTGTCTGACGTCTGAACCGTCAAGCGACCTTTCCTTCCATCGCAGTACCACTTCAGAAATTTCTTCAGTGTGGCCACGTCAAGGGGCGATACATGGTGCTCCGATTCTGATGCAAAGCTGGCACACTGGTCAGTGAGTGACCGATTATTGACCTGGGTCACAAACAAGTCCCATTCCTGTAGCATACGACTGTATGCCACGTCGGTCAGTGGCCGAATGGGCTTCTGGACAAGGTCTGCGGTGGCGGTGGCAGCCCAGATGTGGAAGCTGCGCTTCTCGCGCAAACGAGCTTGCCGTGCTCGCCTTCTGACCAATGTCTCGTCTTTCATTGTTGAGGTGGTGTTCCGCGCTCAGCAGTACGGGTCACATCAGGATGCTGGAGTGTCGAGGAAGAAAAGGAGTGTCAACACGAGAAAAGACGAGACGACGACAGACTTTGACCACAAGTAGCCTTGGCAGCCCTTTGGTCCTACCAGCCATAAAGATTGACGGCGACTCGTCAGGACCCACCAGCAACTGTGGGCGAGTGGCCACGGGACCTGGTCGACGAGATTGAGTGCAGTGGAAAACACAGGTTCCAGTGGGCCACATCCTTCGACTCGTGGCATGCTTTTGGTCCGCGCTTTTGAACATCATGGCCGTCGACGGCAACACAGCCCTCAGCGCCAGCATGTTCCGATCTCTTCTACCTTGGCACGAACGGTCTATCGCGACGGGTTCTTGCATCGCACTCCCACTTGTATTTTTCTGCCCGCCTGCTCCTTCTTGTTGGTTCCCCGCTCGTTGGTCCTCTCTGCGTTGCGCCACTTTCTCCTCTTGCACCGCTTCGGGCTCTGCCTCTGCTCTTTCTACCGCGTCCAGCGTCTCTTCCGCTTTCTTGTAGGATTTAGCTATATCTGCTCTCGAACGCAAGGAGGAAAGGTCAACCCCAGAATCGGTGATATTACGGCAAGTAGAGCGTGCTGGGTTAGACGCAGACCGAGAGTGAGTAATTCCTAGAGGCTGATCTTTGCCTGCGGTGAGTCGTCAACGCAAATGGTTCTCTTGTGCAAATCTCGAAGCTCTTCCAGAAGCTTGATCCGGTCGTCCGGAAGGCCGCACAGGGGGTTGCCCAGAATTAGACAATTTCGCCAAATTGCCGCCATGGGTGCGCCATGCCATGTCTCGGGCTCCTGAAAGGGGCCACGACCAGGGATCCAGCTCTTATCTTGTCCGAGCTTAGGAAGATAGTCTCATACCGTATATCGCCAATAGAGACCCCCATGAGCATCCTCATCGGAACAGCCACCATCATCAAACGCTGTGCACTCGAGCTCTTCGGCCTGTGTCGTGGAAAGCATCTTCAATGGCGTGATGTCAGTCGTAGCTGGGACCTGTCTTGCATTGCCCTCGAAGAGGTCTTGGCAAGGCTATGCCACAGCCTTATCACTTATGCCAAGCCACCAAAGGCTTCCGCATCCGACGCGCGAGTCATGTGACCGTAGTCGGCGGATCTATTCCGAAGAACCTCCAAGCCACGGTCGGCATCGAGCTTCTGTCTCACACACATTTCTTCCACCCTCGTGCCTATAGCTATGCTTCTGATTCAGCCCTTGATAGAGCTCTTTTGTTTACCTAGTGTCAACGTCGTCGTACCACTCTCGCGATATGCGAATGCTTGTGATGTCACCATGCATTCCGCCTATGGCGAGTCGCCGCTGGCATTCCTTGACACTCACAACAAACACCTCAAGACTTTCTCACCACTACGTCCTTACTCATTGCAGTATGAGCATTGATTTTGTTCCCCATCAGATATTTTGAAGCCCTCAAGCACTCATCCCACGGCGTCTGGAAGCTTTTATATGGAGGAACCACCAGTTGTACCGTTGTCCTGCGCCAATTGGCAGCGTTCAGGCTTTGCCTGTTCGAAGGCTGCGCGGTTCGCCTGTGGACACTGTCTGGATATAATGGATTTACCAGCGCATCTTACATCCAATGCGTACAACAGAATCGAGGTACGTCACGCATTAACCGTGGCTTTAATTAGCGGTGACCGGTGCTCTTCACGCAGGCAGCCAATGTATCTGACGCTGGGTATTTGGGCATCCGAGCAACCGTTCAAGCCTTGGCTCCTCTACTTCAAACGCGTCACCAGAATCCACACGCGACTCTCATAACGCTCTTCCTAAACGCGATCATGGAAATTGTCAAGATGGGGGACGAAAGAGACTCAGCAGCTGGAATGGCAGATCTTTCTGGCTATTTACCTTTTCCCCAGCTCTCTCCACCACCTTCAAATAACGACCCGTTTTTACTGCGTCTCTGGGACACCCGAAGCCTTGTCCTGGAAACGACCAAACACTTTCAACAGTAGGCCTTCCTTTTTCACGACGACTTCTTGGTGTCTAATATTTCCAGATACGAGAGGGTCCATCGTTTTGACCAGGTCGCCCGCGACTTCAAGGTCGAGAAAGTCAGAAATCATATCACCGAGGCCTGGCCAACAAGACTGAAGCTTAAGAAGGGGCAGACGGGATATAAGGAAGAGTTTAACGTCCTGTTGGGCTCCAATCTATCTGGCCTTGAACATTACGTCGAGTGGCAGAGATGCGACTAACAAATATCTCGGTCACGCCACATCTCGATATTGCTGTTGATCTTAGCTATCCATCACTGTGATGTGAGCGAGTCTGCCAGTATTTCTCCTCAATGCTGCCCGGTCGTTGCCAGGTCAGGAGAAGCCAGTCTCCAGATAAGCACTTTCGACTGCTGTCTCGTTCACACTCTCGTAGACATTGACGGTCACGATCTTGCATCCAACGCCATAGCTATGCAGAACATCATCTCTGTGATGTACAGTCACTCTTCCATTGTTGCTGTCCAGCCCCAATGTATGCTCTACCATCTTTCGCGCAGCCTTGAACTTGACGGAACTTTCGATTGTTGAAGAGCTCTGTTGAATCGTCGGTGTCATATCGAAATCATTTTTCCTTCTTGCAGGGACAGCAACTCCGTCGGTCTCACAGATATAACACACAGTAGTTTGGAATCTTGCGCCGCCGTTCAATCCTCGATCACGACGGCAACTATTCTCCGAATTAATGGTTTCAGGCCGCACGATGCTAACGAGACGTGAGCAGGACATGCAAGACAGAAAGTCTTTCACGGAAATTGCGTCGATTGAATCCATGAGGAGAATGCTCGGATCGTCTCGATAGTAGTATTATATATGGATTCACATTGCGTCTAGGTAGAGAAATTATTGCACGAGGGTGGGAATGCCTCTGACCCCGAGACACACCTACAGCTTCATGTGGTTGACATTGTTGACCAATCTCAGAGCACGCTCAAGTTTCAGGTTATGCGGCCGTTGGGCGGCCACCTCCGAACACCACGTTGGCACATGGGTGGTAGCTCTTAGCCACGACACCACGCTGGCCCATGGGCGGTAGCTCTCACTTCTCAGCCACAACACCACGCTGGCCCACGGGTGGTAGCTCTCAGCCACGACAGCACGCTGGCCGGGGGGAGAGTTTCAGATTATGCGGCCGTTCTGTGGCCACACCCTCACGGTGAATCAAACGGGAGGGAGGCCATCCCACCAATATCTTGAGATTCTCAGGGTCACAGCCACGTCCGAACTAACTCAACTTTTCAACCTCGTTGCACCCAGACCTCATCGCGTGTATCGCATATTAGGGGCTAACATTGCTTGGACCGATGCTGTAGACGATGAGAATGCTAGTATCAACTATGTTGGCATCACCGTAGTCCCCAGCTGGCACGCTGACTCCGTTCATTCAGGGCTTTCGCCCTCCAAGCCTTTGGCTGATCGGGCCATCATTTGTTGAAACCCCAAGGAAGGCCCTGACAGCCAATTGCCTTCTGACAGCCAGTAGCCGCTTAAATAGCCCTCGCTTGCCTCTGCGAACGGAGGAAATACCAATTGCCTTTTGGATGTTGTGTGGCTCTACGGTATCCTTTTCTAGCTGAGCCGGACTGACGGGATGTTTGCTTTCTTCGCGACATGTCCTCGTGGCTCTTATGATACTCTCTATCGTTAGGAGGCGGAGGCGATGTGACCTGTTTAAAGAATATCCGAAGGCCATACTGGCATATACGAAGCTCAAAGCCAGCATCGGCCAAAGTGATGGGAAACATGTCCGGCTCGAAGGGATCGTCAAACCACAGCATATTGCTCTCTCCAGGTTGAACCATGTGTTGAAGCCCGTCCTGTTGTAGCACAAATTGCACGTAATTCCTCCACTGTGTGATGAGTTGTGATTGTTCTGGAGCTTCAGGATCTTCGGAGGTGCCCCAGACCACTCCATACCTCAAGCCCGCCATGGTCTTGGGATGTCTCTAGCTGTCTGGAAGATATTGTTGAGAACAGGACCACAACAGCTGGTGACTTTGATGGATTGAACATTGAAGAAAAGTTGGAAACGAGAGCGAAGGGAGCTCCAACCGAATATAAAGAAGTAGTGCTCAGCAGCGTGGTTGCCAGCGGGCAGCTGGGCATCGGAGGAATGTTCATGTACATGGTCTGCGGCTGCCGTGAATCACATCAATCGAGGGAAGGCAACTGTGGCCACCACAGAGTCCGACTCACCACGTCCCCCGCATGGTCACGAGGATTGAGCGGCTGAGCCATGCACGACGACGACGAATGGTGAATCCGACCCTCTCCTCGCAATGGCCTGACGGGTCCTCCCTACCCCTGAAGACTTGTCCACCATGATTTGACCTGGCAGATCCAGTACTGCATGACGTTGAGCGAACCGACCATGCTACTCGCGGGAATCCACTGAAGTCGTCGGGTTTCGAGGCACACCTGGCTTGGCAGGCCGCTGACACAGTAGTCTGTGGCACGCTCACTGCACAGAACATGTGTGGTCGACAGTAGGTTCTGTACTTTCTTCATGAGCCACTGCTTCATGCTGTCAGCGAGTGAGCCGCAGTAACGGGGCGTTCCTACGGTGAGACATGGCCCAGAATGGCTACCGCAGCATTATGTAGGACCTTCCCGTTTTCGTGGTCTCACTGTAGGACCCCTCCGCTTCTGTGGTCATGGCTGGAGACCAATCCAAATTGGTGGCCTTGATTCGACTCCTGCCGTTCTCATGGTCTTACCGCATTGGGACCGGCAACGCCACAGCTTGATTAGGCATGAGCATCGACACAGCCATTTCAGAGGTCCCGACCCCTCGCGCCCCGGTGGCTGGGTGGTCACCGGGTGGGCGACGGTGGGCGTAAAGGGTGGTCCGGGTGTGCCGGGGGTGGGCTAGAGCGGCGCGAGGGTGTGCCCAAGGTGGTGGCCAAGCCTGAAGAATCTGGGCTGAAGTAC